GACCAGTGGTATGGCATGGAGAGCTTTTTAGTGTGTTTATGAGGATGTGGGTGGTGGGACAGGCATGGAAGGTGACATAATCAGATATGAATTTAGAAAATATCACTCTTGTTTCTGTGTTGGACATGGATGTGGTTGAGGGGAGTGTGTATCAGTGGATGGGGCAGCCCGTGTTTCTGCTTTTGCAATCATCCACGAGCTATGGTTTGAATGGTTTTGTGTCCTCCAAATGTCATGTTGACGCTTAACCCCACGGCAACAGTAGTTAGAGGTGGGGTCTTCTGGGAGGTGGTTCGGTAATGAGGAGTCCACACTTAAAGAGTGGATTAATGCCACTATACAAAGGGTTTTCTTGAGTTCACTCGCTGTTCCTTGCTCTTCTGCCATGTAAGGACACCACATTCATCCCCCTTTCCCTTTTACCATGTGAAGACACGGCCAGAAGGCCCTTACCAGAGGCCAGCACTTGATCTTGGGCTTCCCAGTTTCCAGAACTGTGAGGGAAAATAGATGTCTGTTCTTTATAAAGAATCCAGTCTGTGGTATTCTGTGTTAGTAGCACAATTGGAATAAGACACCAAGGAGAGATTATGGTGGCTAGTAAAAGAGCTAAGTGAAGAGGTTAGAGGTCTAACAGTGAGCTAAGTACACAGGATTTAGTTCTGTTTCATTAAAAATTAAATCACATTCTGAACTTTCCTTTAATGTACAATTAAGGAATCTGGGAAAACTTACAGATTCCTTATTTAAAATTTTAATTTATCTTTAAAATTTACTTGGCAGGAAGACAAACAGATAGTCAGACTGATCTTTTTCATCTACTGATTCACTCCCTAAATGTTCTCAGTGGTTGGGGCTGGGTCAGACCAAAGCCAGGGACTTGTAACTCAGTCTGAGTCTCACACATGGGTGGGAGGGATTCAATTACTTGAGCCATCACTGCTGCATCCCAGGGTGTGCCTTATAAGGAAGCTGGAATCAGGAGCAGAACTTGGACTTGAACCCATGCACTCTGATATGCAATGCGAGTGACCCAAGTGGCATCTTAGCTGTTGCTCCAGACACCTTCCCCAAACATGTAAATTCTGAAAAGAATCTGATAAATGTATTATCAATGCAATTATTAATGCAATGTGCACAGGGTTATGGTTTGGAAGATGTGGAAAAGTTCTAGATAGTCAGAGGTGTAAACATTTCATTTGGACCCTGGAGGACAAGGAGGATTCTATAGATCCTACCAAGTAGAATTTTCAGCAGAAGGATAGCATTTACATAAGAACATTGTCAAAGTATATTTTGCTCATTTGTTTTCTTATGTATTCATTCACCTGCAGCTATTTTTTGATCACTCAATGTGCCAGGCATTGTCCAAAGGACCAGCTGTCACATTCTAAATAAGCAATGTGACGTCTGGTAATGAGAGTTCAGGGAATGGAAAATTGTCTCCCTTGGTGAGCATGTGGGGTACACAGTGCATATGGTGGTAGATAAAGGGCTTTGATTTCTGTGCCAGGGAATTAATACTAAATTTCTAGAAATGAGTGTCCCTTAGAGATTCTTCTGCAAGGGAATGTGAGTAGTGTGGGTCTGGCAGCAGAGTGACAATGAGGTTGGAGCTGGGACAGCATAGCAGCCTCACATAATAGGTTATATAAGTGCTAATGAGACCTTGGACTCAACAGCAGTCAGAGCGAGAAGATCACTGAATTTCAGAGTATTTTTCATGGAAAGTCAGTAAGACTGGAAGAACATCTGGGTCAAGGGAGACTTTGTATTTTCTTGCTTAGAAATCTGGGCAAATGGTGGGAACTGGGCCCTGTGAGAGATGAGACATTTAAAGATAAAGGTAATGAGATCATTCTGGATTTGCTAGATCATGTACTTGTCATTGACTTAGGTGTGGATGTTTTGGCACCTGTCCAACTCAAAGCAAGAGCTATAGCCTGAGAGCCTGAGACGACAGGTGGGGTTGCAGATGCAGGTTTAGGAGCCATGGTATTAAGACATCACTTGATGAGTAATGGTTTGGGGATGGGGCTATGAAAAAAGAAGATGGCCAAAAATGGAGTTCTAAAAACATCTGAACTTTTGAGAGGCAGTGGAGAAACAAGACAGATGGAGAGAACTGGACATGGAATATTCTGGGCGGCTAAGGGGGAGGAGAGAAGTATGGATATCCTAGAATTTAAAAGGGGAAAGACTGTGGAGAAGAACACACTAACTGCTCCATGCAATCCAAAGCTATGGCACCAATAAGTATCAAGAAGACAAAGTAGAGGCCATTGGATCTGGCAGATATGATATTTTGGGGTCCTTTGATAGAATATTTAATTGTTTTGAAGAATTTGTGGCCAAAGAGAAGTGTGTAGGCTGAGAAGTGATTGAAAGGAAAGGACAGGGTGGCAGTGAATAGAGTCTGCTCTTTGAAATCAGTGGTCATGGTGGGAAAGGGAGAAAAAATAGCATGGTAGAGAGGCAGGCTTTATAGAGAAAGCTTTCGTTTGTCTTCTTTTTTTAAAAAGACTGGGCAAAACTTGGTCACGTGAGCAGAATGAGTGAAAGACACTCTCCTTTGTGGAGAGGGAGACACGGAAGAGGACCCCAACATTTTTTAATTTCAAGACATTTGCTGGCCGGCGCTGCGGCTCACTAGGCTAATCCTCCGCCTTGCGGCGCCGGCACACTGGGTTCGAGTCCCGGTCGGGGCGCTGATCTGTCCCGTTGCCCTCTTCCAGCCCAGCTCCTCTGCTGTGCAGGATGCAGTGGGGATGCCAGTACTGGGACCTTGCATCTCATGGGAGACAGGAGAAGTACCTGGCTCCTGCCTTCGGATCAGCGCAGTGTGCCGGCCGCAGCACGCCAGCCATGGCGGCCATTGGAGGGTGAACCAACGGCAAAGGAAGACCTTTCTCTCTGTCTCTCTCTCTCTCACTGTCCACTCTGCCTGTCAAAAAAGAAAAAAAAAGACACTGGCTAAGGGCTGCAGGAAGAGCGTAGTGGATGGGATGGTTCAGGAACGGCAATGTGAGCGTGACTGGGAAGTGAGACAGAGGATGAGGTGGGCAGGAGACATACGGGTGACATAGTCTCTTCATACTTTGAATCAGGGCCAGGCCCTCTGCTAGGCAATATTTTTACAACTTAGGACGTAAAAATGATGAAAAGTTAAGATGACCTTCACTTTATTTTTAATGTCTCACTGTGTCAGTACACGGTGATTGGTAAAGAGAAGGCACAAATGGACAAGGTGTAGCTGAGAAAGTTGAGTTTCTAAGCTACCTGCCTCTGAGCTGTTCTGTCTCTGAGATTATTGCTGTGTTGATTCAGCCCAACCATTCACATCACCATGCAGAAGGTTTTATCCATGCTGAGGATTCGGGCAGGGGCCAGGCTAACCTGCTAAATGGAATCTGACTAAAGTAAATTGTGATAGCAAACATTTCTGTCTTTAGAATTTATTCCTAAGCAATTATAAGAATGTTTGGGCAAACAGGAGTATCCAAGAGTTGTCTAGTCTATGTTAGCTCCAGGCAGGGGAATGAGAAATCCACTTGGGAATACACCTTGAGCACGGAGTTCTTCAATCCTATTGTTCCTCTGGTTTCCCTGGTGAGGTCTGTTCAGGTGGGAACTCTCACCTTCTAATCCCTGTGAGTGTTGAATGCCCTAAGAAGGTAAGCCCTGGAAGACTACAGTCTTAAAATGGCCTTTCATCCACTTGAAGTTAGAGATTTGAGGTCACGGAAGACCTCATTTATAACTTTCCTATTGATGCACAAGTGAGGAAACCAAGGCCCTGAGAGGAGAGAATGTAATTTGATCAAGGCTACATGGCAAATTTATATTAAAATTAGCACTGAAACCTAGGGTTCTGATCACATCTTATCTAAGCAGGTAGTTTAATTGTTGAAACACATTGCTTTCTTTTGTTAATAAATTACTTTCTGTTTAGACATTAGCAAATAATCTTTGGTTATAAAACACACACACACACACACACATATTTGAAAGGCAGAGTGTTGGGGGTTAAGTGAAGGGAGCGAGGGAGGGAGGAGGGGGTGGAGAGAGAGAGAGAAAAACCTTTTCACCTGATTGTTTGGCTAGGTCTAGACCAGGCTGATGCCAGGAGCTGGGAACTCCATCTCTAAGATGGGAACCAAGAGTGAAAATTGAATGGTTTCAGGAACGAGGAACACAGGAACTGGAGGGTTGCTTTCTTTGTAGAAGGAAAAGGTGGTTGCCACTGTGTGCTCTATCTGTTGCTGTGCTTCCTGGCAGTTAGGTTCTGTCACCTGCTGTGCTGCCAGTGAGGAGACCACATCTCCGTGAGGGCCTGGGGAGTGAGTCCCAAAAGCCTCCAAGGGAGAGCAGGTTATGTTAAGCATGGGAGAACTTGCTGTTCTTTTTTTCCCCACTGCATCCCTCTTTGAGAAAACCCTACCTGGGGAAAAACCCACCCAACCAGAAGCGAGTGGTTGTAGTAACACAGGACTCTTCTCTTTTCCAAGGAATTCTCGGTCAAGGCTATACGCATTCCTAACACTGTAAAATGTTTATGTATCCATTACCACTTGTCTGCCTGCTTGGATCATGAACAAGCACTCTAGAAAGTCTCTGAGGTACAAATATGAGGACCTGCTGTCAATTAAAAATTAATCAGGTAGAGTAGAAATGATTTCTGAAAGATAACAGCTATCGGCAGTAAAAAAGAGATGCTGGCTGATGAAAACTCCGCTCACGGGGACTTGGGGAAAAACTGCTTAAACACACACAGAAAGAGTGAGGATTACTTGGATTGACCCTTGCTCATTTCAACAGCCACGCTCTGGAAGATTCCACGTTATTGTTTCAGAAACGTGGCCAGAAAGTGAAAGGAGGAAAAGAAACAAAATTTGCTCCATGCATCATTCTGGCTTCTAGTTGTAGATCAACCCCATAGGGGTAGTCTGTCTGTGACTAGCTCACTTGAGGCATTCACACACAACAGTGTCAGTACATACATTTTCTCCAGCTCCCCAAATCCCGAAAACGCTCCTTTTGGGATGACTCGAAGCCTGGTGAGGACAAACCTCCTGAAAAGAGAGTGGACATAAAATATCACAACCTACCCAGTAATGAGCAATTGAGTGCCTAAGGTATAATATCAATGAAGAGCCAGTGTAATACTAACTGCTTGCCATATTAGTAACAGCTCAACTTGCTTTCCCTTTCTCTATCTTCATCCTCGCCACAGAACAGCAATATTGGCACTATGAGGATATTGGAATTTGGAGAGGATAACGAACTTACCCTGGGCCGCGTGGCTCGGACATGGCAGAGCTGGATAGGCACTGTGCTTGTCTCTATTAACTCTCTGCTGCTCATCTAGGCCTGCAGTCCCCACTTCCCTTTACCCCAACTCTCGCACCTCGTCCCTGATTGCAATGCTCAGCGGACCTTGCTTCCTATTCCACAGGAAAATGAAACCAACAGAAGAAAGCTTCCTGATGCTCTCCCCCGGCTCACTTGCGCTGTCCACCCGCTGCACCTTTGCTTGAGCCACACTGCCGTCCCTCCTGGTAACGCAGGTGAACTGTCCGGGCTCCTCTCTGAAAGCAGCCTCTCCAGTTCACCCTGGATCTCTTTCCCTCTCGTCCAGTCCCTGACGCCAGTGCGGTGATTCCACCTTTGCTTTCACACATGTCATTGCTCATTGCTCATTTTCCCTTCTCTGTGGGATTCTGCCCGTCAGTATAAAAATGTACCATCAATCGTCCCATCTAACATGCCTTCCCTTACCCCTGGTCTTCAGCTTTTCCTGTTTCCTTCTGCTTGACATACGTGTCTCACACCGGCCTCAACATTCCTGTCAATGGCTGGTGATCTCAGTCAAGGAAAAATTCAGGTTGTTTCCCAAGCCTCTCAGTACCTCACAGGAGCTGCCTGCCCTCTGTCCTCATAGACCCAGGAACCCAGTTTCAACCGCTCTCCCCTTTGCTCAGCCACTGTGTGACGTAGCCTCTTGCTCTCTGTCAGAAAAGCTGGGTTCCTTCTTGCCTAATGTTTCCACATCATCGGTTCCCTCTCTGGAACGTTCCTCTCCCAGTTCCCTCCTGGCCTGCTCCCTCAGCACCATTTGCCCAGATGAGTCACTTTCCCAGTGAGGCTTTCCCTAGCCACCCTATTTAAAATGACCATCTCCCTAGCTTGTTTCCCGGTCTCCTCTCCCACTTAAAGCTTTCGACAGGTTGTACATTCTGTTTATTTATCTGTGTGCATATTTGTTTATTTCCCCCTTTATTAAATGAAAGTTCCACCAGGCAGGAATTCTTTGTTTGAGTTGTTATTGCTATAGACCAAATGCTCAGAATAGTACCTGGTACATGACAGGTAGAGGATGCAAAACCACAGATACTCAAGTCCCCTCTGGAAAATGAACTAGTATGTGCCTGCAGTCCATGCAGTCTTTCCATTTACCTTAAACCAATTCCAGATTCCTTGCAATACCTAACATAGTGTGAATGCTATACAGATGGATTGTGCTGTATAGGAATTAATGACAAAAAAAAAAAAAAGATTGTATATGTTCAGTAAACTAAAGATACAATTTTCTTTTTTTTTTCTCAAATACTTTTAATCCACAGTTGGTCAAATCTATAACTACATTGTGTTTTTGTTTTTTTGGATATAGATATTCCATAAATGTTTTAGAAGACATTGATTTATTTGAAAAGCAAGTGAGAGATACAGATAGAGATAGAGGTGATAGAGATGGAGGTATATTCAATCTAGTGGTTCGTTATCCAAGTGTCCGCAACAGCCCGTGATATTCCAGGCTAAAGCCAGGAGCCAGTAATTCCAGCCAGGTCTCCCACATAGCAGAAACCCGAGTACTTGGGCTTGCCTCCCAAGCCCATTAGCAGGAAACCAGATTGGGAGCACAGGACTCAAACCACGCACTCCAATATGGGGTGCAGGTATCACAGGTGTCACAAGCAGAGCCTTAACTCACTAGTCTACAATGCCTGCCTCCAGTAAACGGTTTTTGACAGTGATGCAATCAAATTACTTAGAAATCAGTGGTAAGATAATTAACCCTTCTACCAATACACAAACAACCATCTGGAAAACTAGAAGCAAAGCAAAACAAACCAAAGCTAAACAAAATAAAAGTACCCCTTTGTCATACACAAATTGGAAAAGAAATCGTAATTACAATTAGAAATTTTGCTAGGATTGAATTATAATGCAAAAAGAACGTATCAGACCTGTGAGATTTCTAAACTGCTACTTATAGAGAAATTTATATCTTTAAATTATTATATCAGAAAAGGAAACAAAGTGAGATATTAAGATAATAAATGAAATATTCAACACTTGATTATAAATTAGGCTTTGTGTTGAATGATTTTGCCCAACTACTGTTCTGAACATATTTAAGGTAGGCTAGTCTAAATTTTGCTATTTGGTAGATTAGCTGTATTAAATGCATTTTCAACTTAATGATATTTTCAGCTTATGATGGACTTATTGGGGGGCATTTACAGCATCATAAGTTGAGAAGTGTCAGTATAGATAAAGTTTAGGCTTAATCTATACCAACTTGGTATTTCACAATTATAAGATCAATTATCTGCCTAAATTTATGGATAAAATGGATGTTTTCTTGTGACATTGAAAGACTTATTATAGTTTCAATGACTCTTATACTTTTAGCATTAATATGACTATTATAGAAAATTACATTTACTTGAGTATTTATTCAAGAAAACTGAATTTCTACTTAACATTGTAAGCTTTATCACAAAAGTTTTATTCTGACAACATGATAATCCAGACTGCCTTTAAATGAGCAACAGGTAAATTCTCAGTGAACTTTTGTTATAGAAAGAAAGTAAATAAGTGTCTATTAGTAGATTAAAACACAGGGCAACATTTCAGCCTACCTTGAGAGAGGAAACTGATGGGGCAAAGGGAAGGAAATAACAAAGAAAAGAGCAGAGATGGATTCAAGTAAGAACAGAGAGGATCAACAAAGCCAAAAGCTAACTTTTTGAAAAGATTAATAAATAGAAAGAACATATGTTCACTTTGAACAAGAGAGAGAGAGAAACAATGAGAGGCGTGAAAAGTGGGACTTAACTACACGTATAAAAGATTTCAAATTTTAAAACTCTAAGAATGATTTCATAAAGTTAGATTTGAAAAATGAGACAACATGGATTATTTTCACTGAAATATAATTATAAAGCTGTCTTAGGACAGGTTGGAAGATATAGAAAACTGAATGGATCTGTAAGTATTAACAAATCAAGTTGGCAGTTTAAAAAATACACATTGACAAGGTCAGTGGCATTCTTTTATAAGCAATAAATTCTACCTCTTCAAGGAATAGTAAAAGAGGAAATGTTCTCCAGCCAATTTTATGGGGCTATTGTAGCACTGGTAACAAATCAGACAGAGACAATAAAAGAATGAACAAATGTAGGCCAATTTTTTTTTTTAACTTTTATTTAATGCATATAATTTTCCAAAGTACGACTTATGGATTACAATGGCTTCCCCCCCATACCGTCCCTCCCACCCACAACCCTCCCCTTTCCCACTCCCTCTCCCCTTCCATTCACATCATGATTCATTTTCGATTATCTTAATATACAGAAGATCAGCTTAG